AATCCATGTACATAAGATTTCCTTCCATTTAATTAAGACTTTTTAAATCTCCTTCAGTAATATGTGTACTTTCCAAGTATAAGTCTTTTGTTTGGGCTAAATTTATGTCTCTGTGTTTCATTTTTGGACCTATTGCAAGTAGAGTTGTTTCTTAAATTCCTTTTCAGATAATCTCCTGCTGGAATAGAGAAACAACTGAATTTTGTGTATTGATCTTATACCCTGCTTTGGATTTTTTCTATATATAGGATGATGTCATCTGCACGTACAGTTTTACTGCTTCCTTTCCAATCTCAGTGCCCTTTATTTCTTTCTCTTCCCTAATTGTTATGACTAGAGCATCCATACAAGGTGGGTAAAGTGACATCTTGTCCTGCTCCTGATTGTGCGGGAAATGTTTTGGCCTTTCATCACTGGACATGACATTAGCTGTGGGTCTTTCAGAAATACTCTTTATCATGTTGAAATAATTCAATTTTAATTTTAGTTTCTGAGTGTTTTCTTTTAAATCAAGAAAGGTTGTTATAATACACTTGCTCTATATCAGTTAAAAGCCTACATGATTTTCAAATTCTCTTCATTCTGTTAGTTTATTACATTGATTTTCTTAGGTTGTACAACCTGTGAAACCTAGGGTAAATCCTGTTTGATCATGGCATATATTCCTTTTAATCATAAGGGTTTTTTTTTTTTTTAACTATTTGCTTCTGTATTTATAAAGAATATTGCATTTTTTTTCTTTCGTACGATGCTTTTATCTAGCTTGGTTATCTGGACTCTGGTATCAGCTAATGCTGGTCTTATGAGTTAGGACACGGTCCTTTCTTTTTAGGAAGAAATTGAGACGGATCGGTATTCATTCTTTAAGTCTTTAATAGAATTAAATCTTTAACAAAATTCCTCAGTGAACCTTTCTGATTCTGGATTTTTCCTTGTTGAGAGATTTTTTTATTTTTATCTGTTCTTGTTATAGGACTGATCATACTTTCCATTACTAATTCAGTTTTGGTAGTTCCTGTATTTCTAGGAAATTTTTCTACTTAAATTATCTCACTTAGTATATACTTTTTCTTAGTATTGTTTTATAATCCTTTCTATAAGATCAATAGAAATATATTCGCTTTCATTTTTTAGTTCATTTACATTTTTCTTTCTATTCTTAGTCTAGGTGAATATTTTTGTTTCCTAAGATCCATTGTTTTGGTTTTGTTAGTTTTATTGATTTTCTGTTGTACATTATGTTATCTGGACTCTGAATTTTATTATTTCCTTCCCTCTGGTAATTTTGATTACATTTGCTATTCTTTTCATAGTTCCTTCAAGTACAAATTAGGACGTTAATTTGAGTTCTTTGTACTTTAAAATATAGGTATTTATTACTATAAATCTCCCTCAGAACATTGCTTTTGTTGCATCCCATAAGTTTTGATATTTTATATTCTCACTTTTATGTGTCTCAGTTCTTTTCTTTTCTTTTCTTTTTTTTGTCCTTTTGAGACAGGGTCTCACTATGCAGTTCAGGCTGGCCTTGAGCTCACTTTGTAGCCCACACTGGCCTCGAACTCACAACAATCCTCCCGCCTCAGTCTCCCAAGTGCTGGGATTACATGCGTGTGCCACCACGCCCAGCTATTTTCTAATTTTTATGTGATTTTTTTTGTTTATTGATAGAGTACATTTGTGAAATTTCCAATGTTCCTGGGAGTCTGTTGTTGATTTCTAGCTCCATTCCATTGATTCCTTCCCAAAGGTCCCATTCTAAAATACTATTATCATATGAATTAATGGATTAAGCTTAGAACACATGAAATTTGGGAAGCACACTCAAACTATAATAGTCCATAAAGCACAAGAGGAGTGACGTTGACAATTTGAATATACCAAAGAGAAGCCATACGGTGCTCCCAACTGTCACAGTAGCTATTAGAAGAACAGTAAGTTCAGGTTAATAAGATAATTTGAGAGAGAGAGAGGCAGACAGACAGACACACACACACAGAATGAATATCCACATGTTTTATTATAGTATATTGTTCCAGTTCTATTTTGTTAGCTATAAATTTCTGAAAGTTTATGAATTAAACTGGCATAGGTATGTATGTATAGGAAAACTGAAACTATAGTACATACACTATATTTTGAGACCATGTACACTTTCAGGCATCCACTGGTGGTCTTGGAATTTACCCCCCTTGGATGAAAGGGAACTACCATACATGTTTTGTTTATTCATTCATTCATTTTTGAATGGACATTTGGGTTACTCACACCACTTGGCTCTTGTGAATAGTGCTACTGTGAACATGGATATGCAACTATTTCTTCAAGAACCCACTTTCAGTTCTTTTCGACATATACCAAGAAGTGGGATTGCAGGATCTTACGATAGTTCTACTCAGATTTCTTTGAGGAACTGCCATTCTGTTTTCCATGGTGGGTGTGCCATTTTAAAATTCTGCTAATAGTGCACAGGTGTTCCAGTTTCTCCATATTTTTGCTGTTAGTTATTTTCTGGTCTTTTTGCTGCTTGTTTTTGGAAGAGCTGCCCTAATAGTGAGGTGATATCTCAGTGTAATTGTGATTTACATTTTTTTCAGTGTTGATGTTGGGCATGTTTTCATATGTTTGCTGGACATTTGTATACCAATTTTGGGAAAATATTCTTTCAAGTTCAAGCCCAGTTGTGTATGCTTCTTCTTTTTTCCTAAGCTATTACTTTTCAGTAATTGTTTTGCTTTGGTCGATTGTACTGCCTTTGCTGCTGCTGCTCCTGCTGCTGCTGCCTCTCCTCCGCCTCCTCCTCCTCCTCTCTGTCCTCCTTTTCCTTCTTCTTTTGCTTGTTCTGCTTATACTTCTGCCTTTTCCTCTGCTGTTTTCTTTTTCTTTGGCTTCTTTTTCTGAACCTGTTTTTCTTGCACTGTTTGGTTCCACTTCTATTTTTTTCAATATCTGCTGATTCTGTTGTATTTTCTGCTGATTCTGCCTCTACTCATTTTTCCCTAGCTTCTCCTTTCTGCAGCTCTTTGCCCTTTTGCTGTCTCTACTGTCACTTTTTCCATCTTCCTCTGCTGAGTCTCCCTCTGCTTCTCCTTCATCCTATGCTTCTCCTTTTTGCAGCTGGTGGACCTTTTACTGACTTTGTTTCCACTTCTGCTTTCCAAGTTTGCTTTATTTTCTGATTCTTTTCCCTTTTCTAATGATCCTATCTCTGCTTCTTCTTTATCCTGTGCCTCTCCCTTATGCAGTTGTTTGCCTTTTGCTGACTCTGCTTTCACATCTGGTTTCCCACTTTGACTGTCTGAGATTGCCCCTTGTGTTGGCTCTGCCTCTGCTTCTCCTTGGTCCTGTGCTTCTCCTTTCTTCAAGTGGTTGTCCTTTGTGCTGGCTCTGCTTTCACTTTTGCCTCCCCTTGCATCTGCTACTTCTGCCTCTGCTTCTCCTTTCCCTGTGCTTCTCCTTTCTGCAGCTGGTTTCCCTTTACTGACCTGCTTTCCCCCTTGCACTGTCTGCTGATTCTGTTCCCTT